CAAAAAAAAATTGTTTGTAGCGAAATAGCAAAAATTTTGTATCTAACTATAGTTGCGTTGGAATGATACACTCTTTGAGTAAAAATAAACTAGTTCAGCCCTAATTATCATAAAAGTATATTCACTTTGTAAATTTACAAGTCATGACATACGGAGCTTTTTCACAATTTTAATTATATTAAATTTGTTTTCATATGTGGGAATTATAAATAAGATAGATATCTTGAGCTTTTTTCATTTTATCTTATACGAACACCATATAAAACAAATTGCGGATAGTAATATCAAATAAATGCGACGGGAATTAATTAGTCGGAGACACATGAGAATAGCCGATGATTATTAAGAAGATGATAGAAAACGACCGTGAATTAATTAGTCTTCTCATGATTCCGACAGAATTTTGGAAAGTTAACGAAAGTAAATATATTAATTAAAAGAGAAATCAAATATACTCTTATTTTTTTTTAGGGATAATGACTTAAAAGGGAAATATATTCTTTGATTTCTATATATTTGGTCATTGAGTTTATTTTTTGTTCATATTTACTCTTTCAACTTGTTAAACTGTACATATTCAGCCCTTATGACCGGTTATTTCAAATTAGCTGGTAAAAATGTCTTAATAGGGTAATATATTTCTTATTTTGTACACATTTAGTCTTTAATATTTATGTACACATTTAATCCTTAATTTTTTTTGTTGCAAAATAATTTTTTTTTTTTGTTTTTGTACTCATTCAATACTTATGAATATTTTCTTTAAGTTTTTCTCACAACATCTTATATGGAACAATCATTAACGAGATGTTTTAGGCTTTTAATGTTATGTTCATCGCAATCTCAACTACTTTGTTGCTTAATTCATATGTTTTGAACGTCATAATTTTTTCATACTATCTTGGATTTTAACGATCTTTATATATATATGTGTTTGTATTTCAGTCTACTACAACTTTTGTTTAGATTACTACCGTTAAAAAGTAATATATTTTTTAATTACGATCTTTATATCCATACGTTTTTTATTAATGCATGTATGGATGTTTTTTTTTATAAAATCGTAAGTAAAAACATATTATATTTTAACAGAAGTAATCTTAACGAAAATTATAGCAGACTTAAAAAACGAACACGTAGATCTAAAGATCGTTAAAATCAGATATTATATGAAGAAGTTATGACGTTCGGAATACAAAACCTAAGCCAAACCACAAGACATATGCAACCAAACAGTCGATGCCGCGATGAACACAAGCATCAACAACCCCAAACACCTCATCAATTAGGGACGGTCGCAGGATTTGGTAGTAAGTGTTGCCAAAAAAAAGAAAAAAAATTTAACGAAAAATATCGAAAAATTTACACTGCATACAGAAAAAGCAGAGGTTGTCGGTGCCACTGCAGGAACCCAAAGAGAACCGTCCCTGTCATCAATGATAGTCTCATGTTAGATGTCGTGAGAAAAACCCCAAATAAATCATTCATAAGTACTGAATTTGTACAAAAACAAAAAATGACTTATTTTGAAACAAAAAAAATATATATTAAGGACTAAATGTGTATAAAATATTAAGGACTAAATATGTACAAAATGAAAAATATATTATCCTAATAAATCATTTTCCCAGCTAACTTGGAGTAACCGGTCATAATGACTGGATGTGTACAACTTAACAAGTTGAAGGGGTAGATGTGGATGAAAAAAAACTCAGTAATCAAATGTGTACAAATGGAAAAATATATTACCCATTTTAAGTCATTATCCCTATTTTTTATTGCTACATATCTTCCTACTTGGAAGATCAATAAAAATATCAAAATCAAAACTGGAAATTATTGAATTTTGTATGTCATTATTTTATATAAATAAAAATTTGATAGAAACAAAAGACAAGATATTTAATTTTTCTAATTAAAAGATGGAATATTCTTGATAAATTCCATGTGAAGATGAGCTAAGAGATATTTTCAAGAAAATATCAAAGAGCATATGGACCAAGCATGACAAAAGATATTTTTTTACAACCAGAAAGATCTACAAGCAAAAGCAACTTTTGTCATTTTGGAAGACGTACAATCGAAAGAAAATGTGTGGATCTCGTACGTTGCCTATCCTTTTGGGCATATCCATTAGTGTAAAAAAAACCAAAAAAACAAAACAAAAATGTACAGTTACAAGAGGGATGTGCATAAAACCAAGTTACTATTTTTAAATGGTTTATGAAATTTTGGGTAAAATGTTCCAAGAGTATTACATTAAACAATTTTTTTATCCTATAATATAAGTCTAGAAGTTGAGGTTTAAAATTTCATACAGAATGTTCAATTTTTATACGCCCAACTTGTTAGTGTTGTTAGGTCTACCTTTTTTTTTCAAATTAAATTATAAAGTCCATGTATGGGCCCTTATCCCTAGGCTATGAATAATCCATGATGGCGCTCATTAAATAGGATATATGATCCAAAGAAATAAGCCAATAGGCTAATTACAATGGTCCCTGTAAGAGCATGCATATAAGTATTTTCAACAGTCTTGTAAATCAAATTTGAAAGCCCAAGAAAGCTGTAAGGTTATATTCACATGACCACATCGAATCTTGCAAGGGGTTTGCTTTTTCAAGAATTGAGCACACCTACATATACATACATATTAAAAAGTTAAGAACATTAGATTCAACCTGCATAAGCATTGATTAGCCATGTAATGTATCCAAATGAGTATTAACATGAAGGCAAACAATCCAACCATATAGATGAAGTTAAGATTTAACTTATTGAAACCCATTAATTCAAAATAGTCAATCAGTCAACAAACTATACTTTTTAGTTTTAAAACAATAAAGAACTGTTCATATAGTTTCTTAAAGGTATGACCTCATCATCAAAAAAGAAGGATCATGAATCTTTTCAACTAGGTGTTATCAACTACTGTTCCAAAAAAACAATATGAATTTCTAAAATGTACAATCTTTTTGAACATTAAAACCGTTTTATTTCAATCTTATATTATCCGGGCAAAGATTGTATATATGGTGACTGAATACCTGAAGGATTTCGGTTGTTTTGTTTATGAACTCTATGAACCACTTTGCATCAAAGAATCCTCATGGTGAGATAATATGTGATTTAGAGCATTCATAATTGTAAGTTTAATGAGAGCGTTGAATGAGGTGGCAAGTCTATATATCATTCAATTGATGAAACTCTATCATTGTGAGATGTCACCTTGACATTCGATGGATTTGGAGTTCAATGACCATTGAACTCTTCAATTGAAAAAATAAAACTTTTGAATTCTTAAATATTTACTATAAATTATATTTTGTAACATTTTATTAACCTTTGTAGAGTTCAATGTATTACGAAAAAAATGATAAAGTTATATGAATTGTAGAAAGGTGATGTGACAATCCATTGAACTCTATTGATTTCAATGCATTGTGGATGCCCTTAGGTTCAATCCGATCATAAATTTTGTGTATTATGTTTTTGAGGGTAGTTATATCAATAACGTATTGAGATGTTGTTTTGCTCCGACTCCACTTCCACTTATACATTAAAGGCAAGAAATAACATGTTTTTATTTTTTGCTTAGCATAGCATCCGACTTTTATTTCTTCCAGCTACATAATTGTAGTTTGAAAAATCTACACGGTTATAAGATTGTTAACAAACTAAAACGTTTTTAGAGCGAAATAACTAAGGATTTTTATCATCTTCTAAATTTGAAAATTACTAGGTCTGACTTTGCAAAAGTGAATCATAGCTATAGTAATTGACAATATAATAATTGACAAGTGAGTAGTACTCTTCACCTTTGATTACATGGATCACTATCATGACCCATCCTAGGGATGAGCATGGGTCGGTTTGGGTTGGTTTTTGGCTAAAACAAAACCAAACCGTAGAAAGTCGGTTTTTCGGTTTTTAAAACCATATAGGTTCGGTTTTTGCATGAGTCGGTTTTTCGGTTTTCCGGGTTGGGTTTATGGGTTTTTAGTTTTAAACCGTGGGTTTATGAGCTTCTGTTTTTTTTTTTTTTTTTTTTTTTTTTTTTTTTTTTTTTTTCTAGTTTTTGGGTTCAAACCTAGTGAAAATACGATGCAATAAATAGTATTGTAACTACTTTAAATATACTAAAATAAATAGTACGAATTCTAGTATTATAAAAGCATAAAATTGTTCAAAAGATCAAAGTTTAACACCAATAACAGTTTGTTGAAAATAAACATAAAATATTAAAGAGATAAAGTCTAAAGTCTAAAACTAAAAATTTAAATCATAATATAAATAATATATATGTGAGTCGGTTCGGTTTTAATGGACAGTTTTATACGTCAAAACCGAACCAAACCGTTATTTTTCGGTTTTTGTAAAATTCAAACCCAAACCGTCGGTTATTGTTTTGGTTTTGGTTTTTCGGTTTCGGTTATGTCGATTTTTTTCGGTTTTTCGGTTTTTGCTCACTAACCCATCCTTCCTAATAAATGAAAATAATTTTATCACGTATCTTTTTTTTTTTTCTTTAGTTTGCCAAACGTCAATTTGTGGTAATTTAGAGATATATATTTTCTAGTTGTTACTTTTCATTTACTTCATTTTTCATTTTCCTATATGGTCAATTTAGTTTCCATAAATTAAATATACCATAATAACTATAATAATTTTAAATTTCGAAATTCAATTTCAGTTTCTAATAAATTACAGTTTAAACCTTAGTATGTAACATTTTGTTATAATTAACATGTTTAGTACACATGTCTGATAACTAAACATGTAATTTTAATTTATTTTTTTCCGCATGTTTATTTTTTCTTGAACTTTTTTTCTTATAATTTTCACTTATTTCAAATTTCAAGTTTCAAATATAAATAAACTTTCCGTTTACTCATTCGTATCTAATATTTTCTTTTAATCAACCCGTATAGTATACGAGTCTCACACCTAGTAGACAATATTAACACAAGAACTGAGATTTCAAAACAAGTTTCTTCATCCCAAGAAAGAAATTATAGAGAAACTTTCAAAAGAACATACAAAATTATCAATAGTGAATATGCAAAAAGAAATACTTATTTCATTCATAAGCAAACTTTCACATTAATCAATAAAACACATATCATAAGCTACATATTACATATCAATTATAAGCATTATAACCAGAAACAACTACATGCGTGACAACCTCTCAAGATTCCCATTTCCTTTCTCAAGTGAAGGGTAATCAGTGTACCCTACAACAGGATCATGTGTATAAAAACTAGCCCTAACATACCTATTCAAAGGTGCATTAACCTTAAGTCTCAAAACCAAATCCGGATTCGATATAAAAAGCCTTCCATAAGCCACCAAATCAGCATCCCCTTTAGCCACAGCTTCAATCCCAAGCTCTCTATTATACCCACCACTACAAACAAAAGTTCCCATAAATGCCCTTCTCCATATCTTCATCAACTCAGCAACTTCCTCTTCACTTCCATGGCTTCCAGCTTCTGTTTGACCATAAGCCGTGTACCTTGGTTGAGTCACATGAATATAAGTCAACTTTGACCCTAATTCAACCTGAAGTTTATTCAGCCCTTCAATTACTTCAAGCCCTAAGCTACGTGGGTCAGAATCCATGGCGTCTAAATGGTCAATAGCTGGTGAGATTCTAACACCAACTTTATCTGCACCAATGGCTGTAGCTATCGATTTCACCACTTTCAGTAAGAATTTGCATCGGTTTGCTAAAGATCCACCATATTCATCTGTTCGATTATTGATGCCATCTTTCATGAATTGATCGAGAAGGTAACCATGGGCTCCATGAATCTCGATTCCATCAAAACCTGCTTCAATGGCGTTAACGGCTGCCAGACGATAGTCTTCCACCACCTCCGGTATTTCATGGGTGGCGAGTGGTCGAGGGTTTGGATATTGAGCGTGGGTCCCATCTGGCATTAAAATTCTCCATTTTTTCGATATGGGTTTGCTCGTAGATGATATTGGTGCAACCCCATTAGGTTGATATACTGTTTGTTCAACACAACGATCACTTTCGATTCGAATTTAGGTTCAAAATGTAGAGATTTTGAGAAGTATCGATGGAAGAAAGCGTACCTTGGTGGGATGCTCTGCCGACATGCCATAATTGACAAAAGATCACAGCACCTTTTTCATGAACTGCATCCACGACTTTCTTCCAAGCTTCAACTTGTTCTTGATTAAATATACCTGGTACGTGAGGGAACCTGATCAACAAAGTGGGGTTTTTTTACCAGAAAGATCGTTAATTTTGGCATTATAATGATCGATGAATAAAAGTGTATTGCTAAACGAAATGGGTTTTTTACATTAAGAATCAAAATTGAATCTTTAACTTTAGAACACAAGGAGCTTATATCATTGTTTAATGGTTCATAAGATCCACATTATGCATCTACTCTAACTATAAAGTACAAGGGCTAGCAACGAAAAAACACATTTTTTTAGTCATAAAGACTTTATAAAGTGTTTATAAAGAAAATGTGACTTTAATAATGGTGTGTCTTTAATAATAGTCTATACTGCAAGTCCCACAAAGCACTATGAAAGGAATTAAGACTTGCCACGTGGCGGCTTGATGTGGTTTGTCGCGGTGAATTATGTTGGAATGTTGATTTACTAAAACACCCTTGAAGATAAAAAGGAATAACGAAATTACCCGGCGGAGGTAGGAGAGATCATTGTCCCCTCCGTGATGAGAAACCCACCGGCGGTTGCTCTCTGTCTGTAATACTCCACCAGAGCTTGATTCGGTATACTGTTTAACGCCCTACACCTTGTCATCGGAGCTAACACCACCCTGCAACCAAAACGCGGTATACTCATCGGTCAAGACAGGATCAAGCTCAAATTCTGAAGGATATTTTAGGGGGAAATGAAGTGTGAAAAGAAGGTGAAGAGAAGAAAAGATCGAAACAACGGACCTGTGAGAGAGATTGAACTTGCCCATCTTGAATGGAGAAAAGAGAGTTGGGTTGTCGGCAGACGGCGGTGTTTCAGCCATTATTTGGTTGGGATCGGAGATCTGAATGCGATGAGTAGCTGAGAGGATCAGAAGATGACAGGAATAAGACGATGGGTGATGACGGAATATAAATATAAGTGAGAAAACGTTGAGGTTGACTATTGATAATCGAAATCAATTCTCAAAGCAGATCACCAATTTAGACAACGTTTTATACATGGAATGATTTTGATATAGCGAGAACCTACCGCCTTCCTAAAAAAAAATCAATCAAATTGGCGAAATTATTAAAAAGACAAAACTCCAAATTTGGTGCTTGTGGTTTGTAAAAAACTTTGGATAGGATCCAAAAAGTTTTCGATTTGCATGGTTTTACCCTTCTAGTTTATTTTTTACATTATTTTTACAATTTATAATGTTTTTATAATTAAAAAATAAAAAGAAATTAAAAAAAATATACAACCCACCATACCGTCTATCTCTCTCTCACACTCTCTCCCCTCTCTCCCTCTCCCCCCCCCTCTCTCTCTCTCTCCTCCTTTTCTTCTTCTTCTTCTTCTTCTTTTTTTTCTTCTTCTTTAAAACCTGCAACAAAACACAAATCCACTTAAATATTGAGTGTAAGCTTCATTGCAGCCCACTATTCCTCTCTCCTATTTTCTTCGTCGGAAAACCCAAATAAAAAAAAAGACCCAACGGGGATTACCACCTCTAACCTACAATTGGATCAAAAACTCCCACCATTACATATTCAAAATCAATCTCCAAATGTTCCAGGGATATTGGTTTTACGTTTCCTTCAAACAAATCGAGCTGTCAAAAAATCAACAAAAACTTACCTTAAAAGCTTCAATCCATCAGTTTTGCATTCATCAATGTAATCCTACAGAAACCCAACTCAGTTTAACACCAACTGATTCAATCATGCTTACATCTACACACCACAGTCAGGGATTCCACCTGATAAAAATGCATAAAAGCTCATGGGTTTTCAGAATATGCATCATGAAGTGGGTGATTCTAATGTTTATAAAATTCAATCATCTATTCTTCATCAGTAATATGCATAAAGAAAACTCCCAATTCCTCATTAATAAACACGAATTGCTCAAATTGAACAAAAGTTGTAGAAATTGAAACTCACAAAGTCTTTGAGATAATGAATGGATCCCAGAAAATCTCTTCACCAGAAAATCTACACCCAACCACATAATAATAAACACCAATTGTAGAAATTGAAAATCAAAATTCTAAGCTAACCTAGAAATTTTCAAAAAACACAAAATTAAATCTAAAATGGAACCTTAGAAGATTTCGATGGCTGGGGGAAAGATATTAGTAGACTGTTACAAGTTAACACATTTCAAGCTGTCGAATTTGCTATTGGATTTACCGTTGTCGTATCGAGGTTTTGGTCTAGATGGCAGGCTTCAAGCTCTAAAACGTAAACCCATTGGCTCGAGAAGAATAAGGGGGAATGGAGGCAGCGAGGTAAGAAACTTACCGGCGAGAAGGGTCGACGACTATTGTAGGGCATCTTGATGGGAAATGAGGTGATAGTTATGGAAACGAATTGATCATGGAAGTCTTTTTGATGTGAGAGAGAAAGAGAGAGAGAGAGAGAGAGAGAGAGAGAAAGAGAGAGAGAGAAATATGTGGGGTGGGTATTGTCTGGTCAAATGGTCATGCCTGTTTTTTTTTTTTTTAAATATTAAAACAATCAAAATAAACAAAGAAAATGTAAAAAAGAAATAATAAGGGCAAAATAGTCTTTTCATATTTATTTGGACCAAATTCACGAAAAAGTTTTGATTTTGGACCTTCTATGCAAATCGAAAACTTTTTGAACCCTATCCAAAGTTTTTTGCAAACCACAAGGACTAAATTTGCAGTTTTGTCTATTAAAAAAAGAAATTTTCAAAAAGAAATCTTATTCTCATACACACACAAACACACACACACACACACATATATATATATATATATATATATATATATATATATATATATATATATATATATATATATATATATATTAATTTTAAGATGAAATTGATGTTAGAACTTCTTTTACTGATTTTTGAATTGTCTTAGTGACATAAAGGAGCTCAAAATTTCCAAAGACATACAAATATTTAAAAAAAAAGATAATAAGACGTTTTTTTTTTTTAATATTTACACATGATAGCAGTTGTGTAAATATGACTAATCATATAAGGGGCTATTTGCTAATTATTGTTTGAAACATACTTATAACACCAATCTCTCTCTCTCTCTCTCTCTCTCTCTCTCTCTCCTATATAAGAAAATGTATGCATTATTTTTCCTAGATAAAAAGAACATGACCGTGAAGAACACCAAAGGAGAAATTGGTTTGCCTAATCCATCCTAAAAGTATGTATCCTTAGAGAATTAAGAGAAAAAACTTAGGTTATCCGGTATTGAAATGAATTCACACGTGGGTTTTTTATGTGGCACACCAACCCACCGATTAACACCGTCCCAAAGGCTGTTGGGTTGGGTGTGGGGTGGGCTATAGTGGTGGTGAATACGCATGAAGACATCCAATGGGATGCCAATGGATTTTCAATTTCTCTCTACTTCTCTCTTCTCCTTTTTGTCCATTCACTACCAACCCACCTTGAACACCAGTTCCACAACCTAATGGGTTGGTTGTGAAATACTAAAATACTTACGTGGTGTTGAGTTGGCTGGTGGTTTGGTTGTAACCACTCCCTACGGTCTTATGATAATATCTTCCATTGTCACTTCAAACATTGGGTTCACACCAAATAAGTTTATTATTTTAGTTTATGTGATTATTTATTGGCTCAATAATTTATTTCTCCACAGGATGTCCGAGGACAAAAACGTAGTCCATCACTTCATTGGACAATAGTAACACTATCCTTTAAAAGATATTGTAACATCCTAAATTAGGGTTATACTTTTTCATTTTATTTAATAAGGGGATTAATTAGTAAAATAATTAAAAAGACATAATAATAATAATAATAAATGAATAAAATAATATTTTAACATTTTAGATAATTACAAATAGAATTTGTAAGATTGTGTTAAAAAGTCAACCATTTGGAAATAAGGGGCTAAAAGGTTAAAACTGACAAAAGTGTGGTTGACCAAGTCTTTAATCCACTTGGATGACCTTGGACCATTTAAGTCTCAAAATAGATGGAAAGGGACTTAGGATGGTCATCCTCAAATTTCGGTCTCGCTTATTGGAAGTTTGGTTCATTTTAGTTAAAAACACAAAAGTTGGAGTAGAATGCGAAAATTAGCAAATAAGAGCTTCATCCTCTTCATTTCAGCAAACTAGATCGATTAGGTGGGGGATAGGAAATGGCAATTTCCATATAGCAAGCCTCCTAGATTTGATTTCAAGCTTACTTGTGTTCTTTTGGCACTTGAAGTTAAGAATTCTAGAGTTCCAAGGTATAAATTCATCATTCCTTATGTTAAATTCAATTTTTATTGGTGGAAGTGAAGCTAGATCCGATTTTGAACTCAATTGAGATCACGGTTTCAATTTTGTAATAAGTTTATATTGACTAATATGGTTTTTAGCTCAAATCTAACATCTCTTTGTGGAGTTGAGTTTGATTTAGAAATCTCACCACAAAACCTAAGTCCTAATGATGTTATTGTTGATTAGATTACTCTCTAGATGATTCTATGATCATCAGTTGAATTTTGATGCAAAATCCTCCATGGAATATAAATATAAGTGAGAAAACGTTGAGATTGACTGTTGATAATCGAAATCAATTCTCAAAGCAGATCACCAATTTAGACAACGTTTTATTCATGGAATGATTTTGATATAGCGAGAACCTACCTATATGCCTTCCTAAAACAAATTCAATCGAATTGACATTTTTTTTTCTTTCAATTCACTATATTACTATTTAACTAATGGCGAAATTATTTTAAAAAAAAATTGTCCGATATAATGACCATATACTGAGAATTGAAAAATAACTATGTTTGAGCTTTTATTTTTGGAAAATCTCCAATAAAGTTCTAAAATTTTTGTCTGATTTATGTTTTAGTCCTAAACTAATTTGTGTTTACGAAAAAGTCCTAAAAACCGGCAAAAGTTTGCATTTTGACCCTTTTTAACTGGTTAGAACCGGTAACAAATTAATTTGGGACTATTTCATAAATTGACCCAAAATATTGGGACTTTTCTACAAAAACAAAAAATATTAGGGTTTTTTTGCAAACAAAAGCTTTATTATTATTATTATTATTATTATTATTATTATTATTGATATTATTATTATTATTATTATTATTACTATTATTATTATTATTATATTAAAAATATAAATAAGTATACTATTTTTTAAATTTGTTATTATTAATATTATTAATAATACATATCAATACATTTAAATAAAAAAATATTAAAGAAATTTTATAAAGGTAAAGGTTGAGTAGATGATAATGCTTTAAGCATTGAAATCAAGAATGTTTGTTTGTATATTCTAACTTTGTATTATTATTATTATTATTATATTATTATTATTATTATTATTATTATTATTATTATTATTATTATATTAATATATAAATAAGTATATTATTTTTTAAATTTGTTATTATTAATATTATTAATAATACATATAGATACATTTAAATTAAAAAAATATTAACGACGTTTTATAAAGGTAAAGGCTGATCAGATGATAATGCTATTAGCATTGAAATCAAGAATGTTTGTTTGTATATTCTAACTTTGTATATGATCATTTCACATTTGTTATTATTGTTTTTAATTCAGAATATTAACATTTAACATTTTAAAAGAAGCTACTGATTTTTCAAATTGTTTACAAATAGCGAGCGTGTGATTTGCATGTATGTCTTATGTGTAAGTATTTGAATTACAAACATTTGTGTTGCTCTTTTTCATTACTTTATCCTTGTGGTTTTTTTTGGAAACATAGCATATATAGTGTGATAAAGCAAAACAAGTCATATTACTTTCTATTAAACAAGATATATTAATACTTTCGAATTTTGATATGGGCCACCAATGTAAATATTTATTGTGGATCTGTTGAATTTGAAAAGAAATAATTATACCTTAAAAAAAATATATACAAAGTGATAAATCCTTTTATCTTAAACTATTTATACATAATTTTACAAATAAGCAATTTCTTTTAAATTGTTAAGTGTTACTATTTTGAATTGAAAACAATAATAAGAATGTGAAATGGTCACATACAAAGTGAGGACATGCAAGATATTCATGATTTCAATGTTTAAAGAATTAGCATCACCACCATCTTCACCTTTAAATAATTTCTTTAATATTTTTTTATTTAAGTGTATTTATATGCATTATTAAAAATATTAATAATAATGAATTTAAAAATTAGTATACTTGTTTATATTTTTAATAATAATAATAATAATAATAATAATAATAATAAGGTTTTTGTTTGCAGAAAAGTCATAATAATTTTTTTTTTGCCGAAAAATCCTAATATTTTGGGTCATTTTGTGAAATAGTCTCAATATTTTAGGTCAGTTTATGAAATAGTCTCAAATTAATTTGTTGTCGGTTCCAACCGGTCAAAAAGGGTCAAAATGCATAATTTTGCCGGTTTTTAGGATTTTTTCGTAAACAAAAATTAGTTCAGGACTAAAACGTAAATTGGGCCAAAATTTTAGAAATATTATTCTCATACACATTTTTAAAAATTTTAAGATGAAATTGATTTTCGAACTTCTTTTACTAATTTTCGAATTGTCTTAGTGACATAAAGGAGCTCAAAATTTCCGAAGACGCACAAATATTTTAAAACAAAGATAAAAAACGTTTTTTTAAATGTTCACACATGATAGTAGTTGTGTAAATGTGACTAATCACATAATGTGGTTATTTGTTAATTATTGTTTGAAACACACTTATAACACTAATCTCTCTCTCTCGTATAAGAAAACTAGGTATGAAATCCATGTACTATACGGGTTGATATATATATATATATATATATATATATATATATATAT